CCCCGCCCCCTGTTCCAGCAACAGGGGCTAATGGGCCAGTTCTCACTAGAGAGAACTGCCGAGGAGGAGCTCCAACTGTGAGGGAGGGAGGAGGGCGAAGTCCTCTCTGGGTCTCTGGGTCTCTGCCAGGGATCCTCCCACGTCTCTCCCTACTGTCTGTTAGTTTCTCTGGGGTCCTCTGTCTGTCTCTCTGTTTCTGTCTCTGTCTCTCCATCTCTGAAACTCTGTGTGTGTGTTTCAGTGTTTGCTTTGCCTCCAGAGCTGTCCCGCTCTGGGAGACCAGGCCCCAGCTGGATGGAACAGGGGTCCCAAATACACCCCAAATGCACTTCTGTCCTCCCTGCCCCCGAGTTCCTGTCTTCTGCCCCTCTGTAACTCAGCCTGTCTCTCTCCCTGAGCTGGTCCTCCCATAACTCCGTGTCTCAGCGTCTCAGCGTCTCCCTGTCTCTATGTCCCCATTCCTGTGGGTGAGGCAGTGTGGTGCAGTGGTTAAGGCCAGGCTGTCCCTGTTCGAACCCATGTGTGGCTGTGTGACTCTGGGAAAAACAAAACCCCAAAACTCTAACCTCTGTTCCTGTGTCTCATCTACAAATGGGCTAATGGTGGGCCTCCTTCGTGGGGTAGTGGAGGGCCCCATGTGCTAAGAGCCTATGGCAGCACCTGGCACATGGGTAACGTTCGGCACCTGCCCTCGTCATCCTCCCGCCACGAGTGTCTCTCAGTACTGCCCACATCTCTGGTCTCTCTCAGGGGCTTGGTCTCTGCAGACCACCCTTTTCCATCTCGCAGTACCCATGAGCCCCTGGGGCAGGAGGGCTCTCACCGAGAGGTGCTGGAACAGCCAGGCCCGCATGATGTTGGTGGCCACCTTGGGGAAGATGCCCCTCTTCTTGTTCCGCCGCCGCTCCTGGTCCAGCTCCTCGTCTTCCCCCCCAGAACTGGGAGAGGCCACGCTTGTGTCCAGCCCATCTCCTGAGGGGGGCAGGCATGCTGTGTTTGCGGATCGCGAGAGTGGGGGACTGGACTCCATGCCACACACGCCCGTCCCTGCCCCTCTGCAAGTCCCCCTCGCCGTCTAACGTCACTCCTCAGACTGACTCACATGCCCCCGCTGCCCATGAAGCTCCTCACCTGGGTCGCTGGAGTTGTCCCCACTCTGAGAGGCTAGGCCGCCACTGGATGGACCTGGGGTCCCCAGATGTACAGACCCGCTGTCCTCGTGGTCTCGAATCCATGTGTTATTCTAGAAAACAAGAGCTGGAAGGTGAGGCTGCTCCTGGGCCGTGTCATAGCACAGTGGCTGCCGCGCCGGCCCTGCCTCTTTCCTGCTGTGTGACCCTGGCCAGTCACGTCACCTCTCTGTGCCCTGGCTTTCTCAACTGGAAAATGGAGGACAATAACAGGTCCCACCCTGCAGACGGTGGTAAGGATGCAATGGGGATTCTCCTTGTTTTGCTACAGGGCAGGTGTACTCAGTGAGGCAGAGAGAGGGAAAATGAGAACGCCGCTCCTGGTGGGCGGGGGGATGGCCAGGCTGCAGTCCGTCTCCTCCACTCTTCTCTTGGGACTTTGGGCATGCATGCACATACGCCCCACGGTTTTTGAGCCCCCTGTTTGAGACTTGAACCAAACAGCAGGCTATGTGGGATCCAGCGCCTTGACCTCCATGCCCCCTGCTGGCCCTGCTTGGAGGAATTCACACCGAGGCACAGCCACTGCTCCACTGGGCCAGCTCCTTCAGGTCTGAGCTGAGATCCTGAGCCGGGGCGTCCCGGAAGTGAGAACTTCTCACACTTTCAGTGAATCAGGGCTCACGCCGCGCGTGCATAACCACCCCCAGCAAACCTGCAGCATAACCTTGGCATCGAACTCATTAACATTTTTCCAGCAAAATGGATGAATATTTAACTACGTGGGATAAATAAAGGCTATAAATAGCCTCTCATTAGTTCAGGTCAGGGTTAGCTGCCAAATGCGTTTGCACTGAACTTACTCTAAAAAATGAAAAAGCTGAGTTTCCAGAGATTCTGGGGGCTCAGAGTTGCAGACAGGGGGTGTAGGGCTTTCCTTTACCCAGACTCTGACACTGTGAGGAGCTAGGTCATGTGTTAGAGCCCCCCTCCACTCCAAGTCCGTGGCCCAGGTCAACCACCCCTGTGGACTCCAGCCGCACTTGCGTCACTCAGCCGAAGGTGCTCGAGAGTCTCTGCTAGCAGAGGTCTCAGTCCCTCTCAGGCAGCCTCTGGCTTCTCCGCTGCCTGGCTCTGGAAGCCACTCCCCTCCTCCCCCAGATCTAGGGGACCCCACCTGGCCTTGGTGGTTGCCTGGAACTCTGCTCCCTCGTGGTCGGTCCCAAAACTATCAGTTGTGGGAGCCCCTATGCTCCCAGCCAGGGCGGGGCCACGCTCTCCAGGATAACTAACATCTGCGGGTTTGCATCTGGGAATGGGGTTCGTGCAACAGCAGTGTCACTGGGGTCTGAGGGCTGGGGACCGAACTCAGCAGCACCGTGACTGGAGCTGACCAGATGTTGCAGGGGAGCGGGAGACTGAGACCCTGGTGCAGCAGAGGGGGCTTGAAAAGGCTCATGGAAAATGTGCATTCGGAAGAAACTGCGTGGATTCCAAGAAGCTTTGCACCAAAACAAACTCATACTTTAATTCCATTTTCCCACGGACTTTTCGATGTCCCTGTAAGTGAACGTGACCTGAGTGTGAGGGTGTCTACGTCTGTGCAGCTGCCCCCAAGATGGGACAGCTGTCCCCAAGGAGAACATGGCGTGGTTGTGACCTGGCGCATCGCCAGCTCTGCTGGTTCTGCTAAGTGTGCGACCGCTGTCTGAGGGACCGATCCCTGCCCAAGTGGGGGACCGCCGTGGGGGCTGGCAGCTGGGTGGCCGTCATCCCATCATTCCGGGTACCTGAGCCTGTGAGGGTAACTGAGCACCTCTGCAAGGGGTGCTGCTGAGCATGCGCATGTCATGGCTGGGGGAGGTCCAGAGGGGCCACTGCGGGGCGGAGTAACGACCAGGCTGTGTCCCCTCATCGCTGGGTGCTGACAGTATGGCCGCCGGGGGTGGCCAGGTCCTGAGGCTTTGCTGCTCTGTCTGCATGTGGCAGTGAGTGACCCACATGGCTGCTATGTTTGTGCTCATCATTGTCCGGGGTCTTGGGTTGGTGACACTGTAGCGTGACCAGATCTGAGACAATGCCCCTTTCTCTTTGCGTCCTGTGTCTGATTCTGTGTGGCTGTCCCACCCCATGAGTCTGTTTCCAAGTGTGACTAGGGGAATCTGGGCCGTGTGGAGGCCGCATGTGTGCTGACCCCAGCCGCAGCCCTACCGTGATGGGGGAGGGCTAGTGTGCGGTGCAGCTCAGTCTGGGTCTCAGGGCGGCTATGAGTTGCTGTGGCAGGACCTGGGGTGCTGGCACTCTGTGTGCGTGTGGCTGCGTACACACCACAGCCACAGCCACACTCTCCAGAGCAGGGGTGCTGAATGTGGCTGTGTGCTCTGTGCTGCTGTCACGTGGCCATGTGTGTTGCGCTGCGGGCTACTGAGCCTGCAGCTGTCGAGGCAGCATGCACATGCACGCATGCCTGCACAGCCATGCAGCCACGCCCAAAGCCGTGCGGTTGTGTGGTGGGTGTGTGGCCGTGTGCACACACACGCATGCCCTGTGGTCAGACCGCACCCCTGTGGCCGTGTCTGAGGCCGTGTGGTGTAGTGCGTGTATGTCTGGCCTCAGCTCTGGTTGCGGGTGATGCCTGGCGCCCCCTCCCAGGCTCACCTGCTCGGGGAGGCTGGGGCAGGAGGCCGGGTAGTCCTCCAGGTCCTCCCTGCAGCCGCCGTCCTGATCCTCGATGACCAGGTCGATGGGCATCTTCCCCTTGAGGCAGGTGATGTAGCGGTGACAGAAGTTGTCGCACAGGTCGTGGACCTGGGGGGGCACCGGGGTACTGGGGGGGCCACCCGGGGGCCAGGGTTGAGGTGCACAGGGATGAGGGAGGCATTCTGCTTCAACTCCAGTGGGGAGAGAGCCCGGAGGGGGCGGGGGTGTGTGGGGTGAGAGGCAGGGCTGAGGGCAGGTGAGGGTGAGGGCAGCGAGGAGCGCTCACCTTCTCCAGCTCCAGCAGGTGGAAGCGGAGCACCTGGATGGCCTGGATCATCTGAAAGCCCAGAGGGGTGACAGGAGAGAAGGGGGGGAGTGGAAGGGAGACAGAGACAATGAGACAGAATGACAAAACGGTGACAGAGACAGAGACAGCAGGGCAGAGAGAAACAGAACAGAGATGGAGACCCAGAATTAAGGAAAGAGGGGGTGTCAGATTGAGAGGCAGAGAGACAAAGAAGGAAGCAAGGGGCAGGAAAGGGTCCTGCGCTGGCGGAGTGAGCCCAGGTGTGTCTGCCTGCCCTCAGCGCTATTTCCCACCCTCTACCTGCAAACTACATCTCCCAGAGTCCTTTGCAAACGGCTTGGCCAATAGTAAGCCCAGGCAGGGCTTGGGGAGCCAAGGAAGGGCGGAGCCAGGGTGTCCCATTCTCAGGGCCTGACTCCCATTGACTCTAAATCCCTCAACCGCTTTTCAAGACGGAAACTACTGCAGCTGAGGCCACTGAGGCACGGAGGGGTTCACAGAGCCAGGAAGTGGCCGAGCTGGATTCGAACTCAAGCCATCAGCCTCGTTCTCCACTTCTAGGCAATACCAGAGAGCAAATGTGGACCAGGTGGTCTCCTCTCTGCCAGCCAACCTTCTCAACCAACCTAAGGATATGGTGGACAGGACAGGAGGCGCTGTGGAAGAGGGGACTTTGGAGAGGGCCTTGGGCTTACCAGATTGTCCAGCTCTGGGTTGGAGGAGAAAAGGGGCCTCTCTGATCGCACCTGGGAGGAAGAGAGGCCAGCGAGAGCTAGTCCACCTCCCGCCCGCCCTTCCTGGCTGGCTCTCCTGGTGCTGACCGACGGGGTGCCCACCTGCTTGGCAAAGGCAGCGATGTCCTCATTGAAGGAATCAGAGGAGCAGACGTCACCGCCCGGGGGTGCGCCCAGCCCAGACCCAGCCCCATCTCGGGGAGAGCAGGTGGCCAGTTCGCACTTCTCAAAGACCAGGGCCAGCAAAGTGTCTGGGGTGGCAGGAAGGAGAGAGAGTTCGTGAGGGCAGGACAGAGACTGCGAAGCTCAGAGACGAGAGACTCCGGGGACAGAGCCCAAGACACACAGAGAACCAAAGTCAGAGGGCAGACACGGAGACACAGAACAGGGCGGACACAGAGGCAGCCTGGGAGGCCCCTCGCTCCCGCCCAGCCCCACTCACCCGTAGATCTCATCCTTCTCCCTCTTCAGCCCTTCGCTGTCCAACCCGGGGGGTGGGGGCTGAGGAGGCCTGTGCAAGCCGTAGGGCCCGGGGGCTCTGGGCGCCTCCGAGAAGCCGGCCAGGGCTGCGGTGCTGTCCACGATGCCTGGGTAGTGGGGCAGCTCATCGTACTGGGGAGGCGAGAGGGGCGCCCAGTGGGTCAGCACCCCGAGATCCAGCTGTCTACTGAGGTCCCTCTGTACCCAAGGACCCAGAGGGCACCACTCTGTCCTAGGAACCTCCTTGTCCCCTGAGACCCCAGGTCCCTGACGATGCCCCTTCCCGTGTGCCTGGGCTGGGCAGCCGTGGTCAGCAGGGCCCGAGGAGGAGCCCGGCAGGGCCAGGGAGGGCGGCAGGGATGGCGAGGCTGGTGACAGCTCCTCAGCAGAGGGGAGGGGAGAGGGTCAGGGAGGGAACCCCACCAAGGACCCGCTCCTGACACAACACAACTCGCACGCACTTCTGTTTGTTTCGCGGTTGTCAAGTGCGCACATGTGAGTGTGTCTTAACCTGTCACACCCCACGTGAATCCACCGCGCACACAGCCATTGACACCAAGCACATGCACGCTCGTGTCAGTCCCACCTAAACCCCCGCCCACACGCGCTGAGTACCCCCAGGCTGAAAGTACCACAAGCCCACCTGAGTCAGTGGAGACACCACACACACACACACACACACACACACACCGCCAGGCACTGGAGTGAAGGAACGAGTTAGCCGGCATGTGAACGAATGAGACTGGCACACGCATGGATGCGCCGCACACACTCAGAAACACTCGGTGAGGGAGAGGGCCACCTCTCACAACTGCGCAAACACACTTGTGCACACAGCCCCGAAAGCAGCGGGAGCTCTGGGGTGAGCTTCCACATCTCGCCCTCACAGAACCAGGACCAGGACCAGGACGCGGTGCCAGGGACACCCCTGCTCCTCAGGTCACACCCTTTCCAAGGGACTGGCAAAGGGAGGGGAAGCGCGCCCCTGCCCAGGGCTCCGTGC